CTCGATCCCAGGACCCTGGGATCATGACCTGAGCCGAAGGCAGATGCTTAATGACTGAGCCACCCAGGTGCCCCAGACAGTTGGGTTTTAACTCAAGCCCAAAGCCACGTGATCCTCAAGCACAAAAATGCTGGGATCAACCAAGAGCTATACTGTTGACCAAGGGCAGAGGCATTGGAATTCACATCTAATATGAGTCCAGTTACACTGTAGCCAAGAATGGTACCTGTGGTCTAAGAACAGAGTTTGGTGGTAGCCAAGAAGCAACTCACCACATTTTTGCATTGTAGGCAAGCTCAGTATACTATAACCAAGGAGGGGGCTATATTGTAGTCAGCCACAGAGTCCTATGGGTGGCCAAACTCAGAGTTACATTGTAACCAGGCAGTTATATATAGTTGAAGCCTATGTTGTAACTGAGTCTAATTACACTGTAGCCCGGGTCAGAGAATCATGGTAGCCTAAGCTTTGTTATATTGTGGTCAAGTGAATACCCTTGTGGTTGGAGATAGTCATGCTATTGTCAAAACAGTTATATTGTATTTAAGTACAACTTCATTATAGTCATTGAGCTCAGTTACATTGTGTCTCTCTGTGGCTGGAGACAGTCATGGTATTCTCAAAACATGGTTATGTTGTATCCAAGTGCAATTTCATTATAGTCTCTGAGCTCGGTTACATGTGTCTCTCTGTGGCTGGAGACAATCATGCTATTGTCAAAACACAGTTATGTTGTATCCAAGTGCAATTTCATTACAGTCTCTGAGCTCAGTCACATTGTAGCCAAGTGCAGTTTTCATTGCAACCCAAGGCCAGGGTTTGGGCACCTGGGCTTGAACTGAGCAGCCTTGCTGTAGCTAAGTACAGACTCGCCTTGTTGCCAGGCACAGAGTAGCATTGTAGCCAGCACAATGGGGAACATTCCTTTGCCTTTAGAATGAGACTGGGGCCTGGAATGTTCATCCTCTTTCTCCTGCCAGAAGGAACTGTGGACACAGTGTCCCCGGGAGATTGGAATCAATTACTTGGAAATTTGGCCTTCCCTGCACACCCCCACACAGATGACCCTGGGAGGTTGCCAGTGGGAAGAGGGGTGGAGAGGCAGCCTCTTGCACACCACACTAGCAGCGTTGGAGAAAGGTCATTTCCTCTAAGGCTGCCCCCTTCCACTCCTGTCCAGTATCCTTTTGGGACTGTCCTGACTGTTTTGGGGCAGGGGACTGAGTTGGAGGGCCCTTTGTAAGCAGGGAAGGGACTTGAGATCTTTTTTATTTTTCAGGGTACCTCTGGCAACCGGGGTCTCCAGGGGGAGAAAGGAGAGAAGGTGAGAAGAGAGGGGGGTCCTGGTTGCTGGGGAGCCCTAATAATGGGACTCTGGTTGTATCCCTTCCCTGAAGCCCTGACCTCTGACCTCTACACTCTCTCCCACCTAGGGAGAGGATGGCTTCCCAGGCTTCAAGGGCGATGGGGGGCTCAAAGGAGATCGGGTAAGATGACTTCCAGATGAGGGATCTAGTGGTTCTGGGGCACTTGGGGAAGACAGTGAAGGGGGGAGGGTGCTGGGGCTCAGATAGGGGGCTGGAGGGAGCAGGAGTGACTCAGGGTCTGATACCTCCTTTCTATTCCAGGGGCTCCCCGGCCCCCCCGGCCCCCGGGGAGAGGATGGTCCGGAAGGGCTGAAGGGGCAGGAGGGGCTGGCTGGCGAGGAGGGTCCCCCAGGCTCAGCTGGGGAGAAGGTGAATGGACCTTGGTCACCCTCTCCAGTCTACTCTATGGCTTCCCATCCTGCAGCCAAGATGTTCCCTGGCCCTTTGCCTTCTGCCCTTGGCTCTTTTATCTCCAACCTCAGGAGGCTGCTACCACACTTACCATCTCTAATTCCTTAACTCAGCAATACAGAGCAATTTCATGCACAGTATCTGATTTTTATCCCCAAAACCACTACAGGCAACAGGAATTTTTATCCCCATTTTGCAGACAAGGAAGCTGAGATAGAACAGAATAGAATAGAATGAGTTGCCCAAAGATATGCCCCTAGCAGGCAGGAGCCAAGACTTGAACTCCCTGAATCTCACCCTATTGCCCCTGTCACCATGCTCCAGCCATCCTGCCCTTTCTTTTCTGACCTTCAGGTTGCAGTTTCTGACATTTGTCCCATAATTTCTCTGTAGGGTAAGCTTGGGGTGCCAGGTCTCCCGGGTTACCCAGGACGTCCAGGCCCTAAGGTAAGAAGCTAAGGGGTAGGGGGTGGGCAAGGACAGCATTCAGAGATTGATTAACATCTGGAGGGCCAGGATGTGGTCTAGGGGAGTGAGCTGTCCACCCCCTGGGTCACTAAGAGACAGCATAAGCTGTGAGCTTTGGTATCAGACTTGGGTTCAAATACCCACTCTTTACCTACTAAGTGACCTTGGACAAGTCTCTTGAGTCCACTTGCTTCATTGTAAAATGGAGATACCAGTAGTCTTTATCTCATCCATTTGATTATAATAGCATTGATAATTTTGATAATAAAACTATACGATCCTTCTTATTTGGTGTGATTAGGGTTGGTTGAAACAAAGCCAGTAAGGAGGAGAATCACAAAAAAAAAAAAAAAATCCATGTCTTACATATATTGAATTATAACTTACAATAAAATGTACTTATATAAAAATGTACATTTGTTTGCCAATTTTTTGATGGATGAGGCTGCTGATTAGGCATGTCTTTCTGCCTAAACCACACCCACATTACATCACTGAAGATTTATAGTTTGGGTTTATATAAAGTGGAACAGAAACTTAGACACTTGGGAAGAAGTCCAAGTGCAGAATCCTTCCAGAGTTCCACACTTTTGTCATCTCCATCTGGCAGTTATCTTGTGCATATGCCTCATTTGACGTGACTTTTTTTAGTGACTTCCCTTTTTATTGAGTCTTTTCCATTTAACTTAGATTTGGTAGACATCTTTCTTTTCCTTTCTGCATTCCATCAGTTGTTGTAAACTTTCATTAAGTCACCTGACTCCAATAGCAAGCACAACTGACATAAACAGACTTGGGAATAAACTCAAGGCACCATACCTAAGAATAGAACTCAACTGATTGGAGCAGGAGTTCATGGGATTTAGAGCAAAGCCTCTTGGACAAGACCAGTCTGTGTGTTTTGGGCAGCGAGTAATACATGACAGAAGGCATGGTGTGTTGGTTAAGTTGAGGTTGGTGTCTTAGCTGTTATAAAAAAATACTTTAGACAGGGTGGCCTAGACAACAGAAATTTATTTCTCACTGTTTTTGATGCTGGAAGTCTGAGATCAGAGTGCTAGCATGGTTGGATTCTGGTAAGGACTCTCTGGTTTGCAGACAGCTGTGTCCTCTCTGTATCCTCACGTGGGGGGCTGGGGGGAGAGGGGGACAGAGAGAGAGAGAGAGAGAGGGAGAGAGAGACAGGGACAGGGAGGGAAGGAGAGAGAGATCTAGTCTCCTTTTCTTATAAAGACACTGATCCCCTTTGTGAGGGCTCCAACATTATGACCTACTTACCTCCCAAAGGTTCCACCTCCAAATACCGTTCTTTTTTTTTTTTTTTAAGATTTTAAAATTTTTATTTATTTGACAGAGAGAGAGAGAGAGCACAAGCAGGGGGAGCAGCAGGCAGAAGGAGAGGGAGAAGTGGACTCCCCGCTCAGCAAGGTGCCCGATGTGGGGCTCGATCCCAGGACCCTGGGATCATGACCTGAGCCGAAGGCAGTTGCTTAACCAACTGAACCACCCAGGCACCCCTCCAAATACCATTCTTCAACACAGGGCTTCAGCACATGAACTTGAGGGGACACAAACATTCGGTCCATAGCAGTCAGTAATAATCAGCCTGAATAATGACAGCTAACATGTCATAAGCTCTTACTATGCGTCACACACCATGTAAAATACTTTCTATACCTTATCCTATTTGATCCTCCCCAAAACCTTGTGAGGGAGGTATTGTTGGTATTCCCAGGCTACAAATAAGGAGACTGATGCTCAGAGAGGGTAAGCCATTTGACCAGGGCCACACAGCTAGTCTAGTGGTAGGTCTGGGATTCAAAACGTGGTGAGGGGTGGGAGGGGCTAGAAGAGCCTGTGATGTCCTCCCCTGGTTGGAGGGAGGATGCCTCCGAGATGGGCAGGACAGCATGGACTGGAGTCAGTTAACAAATATCAAGTAAGCTCCGACTTTGTACCAGGTTGAGGAGACTAAGACCAGAGTAACATGTCCTAGCAGAGAAAACATACAATGAATAAGTAAGCAAAGGAACAAGGTCATTTCAGTATAAATATATTGGGAAAACAAAATAGGACAATGTGATAGAGGGAGGGTGACTTGGAGGATGTGGTGGTCAGGATGGTGGCAGAAGACTTCTCTAAGGAGTTGACATCTAAGTGAGATCCAAAGGATGAGGGATAGCTGCCTCTGTGGGGGCCTGAGAGAAGAGAAGTTTAGGCAAAGGAAGCAGCCAGTGCAAAGGCCCTGAGGCAGGAGTGAACCAGTGTGCCTGAGTAGCATGGAGGGGCAGTGTGGCTGGAGTGGAGTGAGCAAGGGTGGGGGAAGAGGAGGGCAGAGGGCTACCATGGAGGAGGATGGGGCTGGAGGGACCAAAGAAGCTTCTGGAAAGGATGGAGTGGCTGAAGGGTGAGGGGTCAGCTTTGCTCCCCACCTACTCCTCACCCCAGTCTTCTCTCTCTGATTCTCTCAACTCAGGGGTCTACTGGCTTTCCCGGGCCCCTGGGGCCATTAGGAGAAAAAGGGAAGCGGGTGAGTCGTGATCCCGGGGTCCGGGGAGAGGGTAGGGCTTGTCTGGGGGAACATGTGTGGCTCTGCAGGACAGTGGGGAGGCCCCTGGGTGGCTGTATCCAAGCCCGGAAACACTGTCTGCACACATATCCCCAGACACAGCGCAGGGCCCATGTAGGTGACCCCACCGGGCATTCCTGAACGTGTGTGCCAGTGTGCATGGGCCTCTCAGTGTGGGTCGGATGGGGTCTGGGTGCTGCAACGTGTGGGCCTGTGGTAAGCAAGGACCCAGGCCTGCGTGCACGTGTGTGACTGTGGACGTAAGTGTGTGTGCGAAAGCGTATGGATATGCACACACATGCACGTCTGTGTACACCGAGTGTGTACACGAGCATGCTGTGTGTGCACTGTCGCTGTGTCAGTGGGCATGGAGTGCACACACGTGAGTCTGTGTGTACTGCTGTGCTTATAAGGACTGCGTCCTCCTGTGAATCCATGCGTGCACGTGTTTACGTTGAGTGTGCACGTGTGCAAGGGACAGATTGCACGAGGAGCTCCGGGTGTCGACCCGAGGCTGCGGGTCACCCAACGTGTGCTGCTATGGCATGCAGTCTGGGAGAAGTGGGTGTCCTTCTGGGCTTGTGTTTGGACCCTGTAGGTGCAATCACAGGTATAACTGGGTGTCTGTGATCTTTGCACAGTGAGAGAGAGAGAGAGAGAGAGAGAGAAAGGCTTGTGCATAAACGTGCAGCAAACCTCTTTCTGGGTCTGTGCCTGGATGCATCTGTGTGCGTCAGGTCTTTGCATCATAACTTTCTTCTGCTTCCCCCTCACCTGATTTATTTTCCAGGGGAAGGCGGGGCAGCCAGGCCTGGAAGGAGAGCGGGGACCACCAGTAAGATGGCTCCCCCATTCTGCCGGGCCTGGGGGGGCAGGGCTGGAAGGAGGGGCTGCGGGAGGAGAGGCAGTGGGGAGGTCATACGTGGGCAGGGCAGTGGGTTTGGGTTACGTCGGTGTCCCTGGTAGGGCAAGGAGGAGTCACAGAGGGAGGGGCCCCAGAGGACTCGGGCTCATCTCCTAGGCTTCCCCCACCTCTTGCTTCTAATCTTTGCTTCTTTTCTACTCAGGGCTCCCGCGGAGAGAGGGGGCAGCCTGGTGCCACCGGGCAACCAGGCCCCAAGGTATGGGCTGGGTGGGTGATCAGGCCCCCATGCAGGCCCCCTGGCCCAGGCTCCTCAAGGCCCTCTAGGAAGCCCTCCCAGTTGGGTTTGTCCTGCAGCCTGAATCTTATCCATTGTGTCCTAGGGCGATGTGGGCCAGGATGGGGCCGCTGGGATCCCTGGAGAAAAGGTGAGCATGTGTCACGTCCAGATGGGAGACAAACCCAGGATGGAGGGAGGCATTATGACGCGGTGGAAGGAACCCAGCCTCTAAAGTCCCAGCTCTGCCACTTGACTGCTGTGTGACCCTGGGCAAGTCACTCGACCTCTCTGGGTCTCGTTTTCCCCCTCTATGAGCTGGGAATACCACAGTCCCCACCGCAAAGGGCTGCAGTGGCACAGGACATGACTGACTGCGTGTCGCGCATCTGGCCCCATGCCCAGTGGGCAGAAAGTGTCAGTAGGCTTGTCCTTATGTGGGGCTCAGGGGGCCAGGCCAGAGGGATGAGGCCATGGTTTTTGGTTCCATTTCAGGGCCTCCCAGGTCTGCAAGGCCCTCCTGGATTTTCTGGGCCAAAGGGTCCCCCTGTAAGTGAGTGCACCCTAATTGGGGGTGGCCTGGAGGGAGCCAGGGAGTGGGGAGACTCCTTAGTCATGCCTCGTCTCTCTCCTACCTTGTCCCCCAGGGCCCCCAGGGGAAAGATGGACGTCCTGGGCACCCTGGTCAGAGAGGAGAATTGGTGAGTGGCCTCTGGACTTCTGACCCCTGGCCTCATTAGGCTCTCTAGTTCTTCCTCCTGTGTGACACCCCTTTTAATTTTTCCCCCAGGGCTTCCAAGGTCAGACAGGCCCACCTGGACCAGCTGGTGTCGTGGGTCCTCAGGTCAGAACGGACCCCACAGGTCTTCCCAGTTTTGCACCAGTTGGGAGATATGTGGGGGGAAGCACATCTCAGACAGCCCCCCCCCCTCAATGCTGGACCACCTCCATTCAAGATAAGCTTCCTTCCTCTTCAGGGAAAGACAGGAGAAGCTGGACCTCTGGGTGAGAGGGGCCCCCCAGGCCCTCCTGGACCTCCCGGTGAACAAGGTCTTCCGGGCCTGGAAGGCAGAGAGGGTGTCAAGGTGAGACCCTGCCCCCTAGGAAATCTCAAAGTTTCCTCAATAGCCCCATGCCACCCCAGGCCTCAGAATCAACCCCATGGGGGAGGGGGCCCAGATTCACAGACTAGGAGGAAACACCCCTTCTCTGGAGCCTGACCTTCCTCCTCTGCACTCCTACAGGGGGACCTGGGACCACCAGGACCCCTTGGGAAGGAAGGACCACCTGGACCCAGGGGCTTCCCTGGCCCCCAAGGAGCCCCTGGGGACCCAGTGAGTATCCTTTGGAGCCCCCTCCCCCCCACAAATGTACCTGGTTGGGCTGTGAAGCGGAGGAGGAGGGGGGCTCTGGGGAGGAACATGGTGGTGGCATCCTGGGGACAACCGTGAAAGTAAAGGAGGGACCTGGAGGAGATAGACCCCTGACCCTCAGTGCCTAGGAAGGAGGGGGGAACTGTGAGCCTCCAGAAGACAGGACCTGAGCACACCCTTGGGCGTCTCTTGACTGAATCATCTCCTCCCTCAGGGACCTATTGGTTTAAAGGGTGACAAAGGCCCCCTGGGCCCCGTTGGAGCCAACGTAAGTGTAACCCCATCTGCTGGGTGGGGGGCAGGGTGGAAGGGCCTTGGGGCATCTGGGAAGCTGGGCATTGCCATGATTAAGTCCACTATTTTGGGTGTCAAACAGGCCTGGGTCATACCCATGACCTCAGTTTTCTCACCTGTAACATGGCCCCATCCGTGAGATGATCCGTCCCACACTTACTGCATGCCAGACATCAACATATAAAAATCTCCTTTCTCCTGGAGCTTATATTCTAGTTGAGGACATAAGGAATCAGTGGTGATGAATAGCACAGAGAAGGGGGAGTAGGAAGAGAGGCGTTGAAATGAGCTGGTCAAGGAAGGCCTCCTGAGAAGGTGACATTTGAGCTGAGACCTGAGGGAGGTGGAGAAGGAGCCATGCGGATATATAAGGGAAGAGTGTTCCAGGCAGCGGGAATAGCATGCGCAAAGGCCCTGGGGCTGGAGTGTGCGCGGTATGTTGGAGGAAATGGTGAGGCCTGTGTAGCTGGAAGGAAGAGAGTGAGGGGGTGAGTGGGAGACAGAGAGGGCAGGAGGTAATGGAGCAGGTTGTGCGGGGCCTGTGTAAGGACGATTTCCCATTTCCTGAGTAAGCTGGAAGCTGTGGAGGGCTGTGAGCAGGGGGACATGTGTGCCCTGACTCAGGTGTCCCTCTGGCTGCTGTGGGGAAGGGAACAGAGTCGATAAGACACCAGTAGCTCCTTAACTCCGTGCCTGGTGGCTTGAAAGGCCTCTATCAGTGAGAACTACTTTGCTACTTTTCCTGACCCTTTACCCCTGTTTTCAGGGCTCCCCTGGGGAGCGGGGGCCACTGGGCCCAGCAGGAGGCATTGGGCTTCCTGGCCAAAGTGGAGGCCCAGGCCCTGTTGGCCCTGCAGGCGAGAAGGGGTCCCCGGTGAGTGCCTGCCCACTACATTCCTCAAGCATCCTCAGGACCCCACATACCAGGACCTTCCCTCTTCCCTGGCCCCTGACATCCCCACTTCCACTCCCCCATCAGGGTGAACGTGGCCCCCCTGGACCCATAGGCAAAGATGGGATCCCAGGGCCCCTGGGGCTTCCCGGACCCCCTGGATCTGTTGGGCCGTCTGGCGAGGATGGGGACAAGGTGAGCGTTCATGGAGAGGGCGGGCCTCGGGGTCTCAGGGTATGGAGAGTCCAAGTTGGTCCTCCCTCATCCCGTTTCCTCTGCAGGGGGAAGTGGGCCCCCCTGGTAGCAAGGGGAACAAAGGCGACAAAGGGGATGCGGTGAGTGTGGGGCCCCAGGGAGGGAAGTGGTCCTGGGGGAAGACAGAGGGATGTGAAGGATGGGGTGGGTAGCTGGGGCCCCGAGAGAATGGGAAGGGTGCTGGGGTATGACCCCCTCCTCTCTCTTTCCTTGGTGGCATCATTCTCTCTGTCTGTGACTCTGCATGGCTCTGAGGCATCACATCCTCAGCTTCCCCCCAGGACTTCAGCCACAGTGCACAGCGTCTGTGAGCCAGCTCAGTCCCTGGAGGGACTTCTGGGGGAAAGTCCTGTTGGGCCAAGCTCAGGATGATGTCTGTGTCTGATCCTGTCGGTTGATGGCTAGGAACACAGGGCTGTACAGGAAGCAGCTGTTGCTTCCTGGTAGGTGGAGTGGGAGGCAGTGATTGTCATCTTGAGTGCCCTCCTAATCTTGAACTTGAGGTGTTTTTTTGGCTGTGTTCCCTCCACCAGGGCCCACCTGGACCAACAGGAGTACGGGGTCCTGTGGGACACCCAGGCTCCCCGGTGAGTGCTCCTGGCTTTGTGACCATCCCCTGGATCCCAGATAGGAAGGGACAGGGTTCTCCACCATGACCCAGACCCAAACTCCACCCCAATCCTGATCTACCCCTCCATGCTGACATCCAACAGGAACTACCCCCAGAATCTGACTCAATCCCAATCTCAACCTGAATCCTGAAGGCCCTCACAGTCCCAGTCTTAACCCGACCCACGACCTTAACCTCAATCCCAACTCAAACTTTATCTACAAATCTGAACCTTGACCCCATCCTACCCTTAACCCCAACTCTGACCCACCCTCCAATGCTGACCCCAAACCTGAACTCAAACTTTGAATCTGACCTTGGCCCCAACCTTAAACTCAACCCTAAATTCCATCTCAGCCCCATCATGACCTTGACCTCAACTCACCACCCACTGCCCATCTCACCACCCAATATCCATATGAAAACTTTGACTCAACCCTTTACTTAATTCCCAAACTTTGACCCTTAGCCTGCACCCCCCAACGCTAAGTCCAAACCTGACCCTTTCCAAACTTAATCCCAACCCTGACTGTAATTGTTAACCTCAGTCCTGACTTTGACCCTGAGCCTATCTCCAACCCTTGACCCAGACCCTACCTGTGCCCTGCTTCTGTCCTTCTCCCAGGGAGCAGATGGGGCTCAGGGACGCCGGGGACCACCAGGCCTCTTTGGGCAGAAAGGAGATGACGGAGTGAGAGGCTTCGTGGGGATGATTGGCCCTCCTGGCCTGCAGGTGGGTGTCTGAGTTTGGGGGTGTGGCCTCTTTCCCTGCACTCTGTGCTCCAATCTTTCTTCTTCTTTCCACAGGGGCTGCCAGGTCCTCCTGGAGAGAAAGGGGAGGTTGGAGACGTAGGGTCCATGGTATGGACAACCTGGGGAAGGTGGGAGGGGGAAGAGGATAGCAGAGTGGTGGTGGCCATTACATCAGTTTTGGGGGGGTGGTGTCACAGGGCACGTTGTCATTTTAAGGTGATGCCGGTCACCAACATTAAGGATGGTGTTTGTGGTTAGTGGTGCCTTTGGGGAGTCATGAGGTCACTGGATGCTATGCTGACTGTCCCACAGGGTCCCCATGGAGCTCCAGGGCCTAGGGGTCCCCATGGCCCCAGTGGATCAGAGGTGAGAACTCGGTGGGGGGTGGGGCAGGATGCCTGAGAGGTGGGGTCCTCCATTTCCCAAAAATGGGCTGTTGGGATCCCACAGTCCCACTTCTACCCCTTGCTGTCTCTCCAGGGCCCTCCAGGGCTGCCTGGGGGAGTTGGTCAGCCAGGCGCTGTGGGCGAGAAGGTGAGAGAAAGGGGGCAGGGGGCTGCCTAGGGTGGGGGAGACACAGCCAGTCCTGCTTGGGGGTGGCTGTTCTGGGGAGCTCCTCCCTGTCCTTCATTATCAGACCTCTCCCTACCCTGACTTTGACTCCTGCAGGGTGAGCCAGGGGAGGCTGGAGACCCAGGACCCCCAGGAACCCCAGGCATCCCTGTGAGTGACTGTGTCCTATACCCCTGCACCCATCTCAGGGAACCCCTGACCCCTGGGCATCTTGGGGCACCCTGACCTCTGGGCAGGTCTGAGTCAGCCACTGACTCAGGACCTATGGGTATCCCCAGTTATCTTGATGACAGAGTCCTGGAAGGTCTCAGATAGGGCTGCTACATAGAGTTCTTCAGGTTGTACACCTACAGGAGGGTGTGGGGCTGGGGGTGCAGGTGAGGGCTCAGATCCAAGCTATGAACCCGAAGTGGGACATGAACTTCCCAGAGGGATCCCCTTTCCTAACTCACTCCAGTGTGGCATGTGGGCTAGACCAGCCTTGGTCATGATCTCTGAGCAACTGGACCATCCTGGCCCCTGACTCTGATAAATCCTAGATAACCTTTGACCTCTGACCCTTTGACAGAGGGTCTAGCTCCTCTGACCCCTGGCCCCAGGAAAGTCCCAGACCACCCAGATTCCTGAGTCCAGGGATGCTAACTCTTTGAAGAGTCCAGGCTATTCTGACCTCTGACCTCTGTTTCTGCAAAGGGGCCCAAGGGAGAAATTGGTGAAAAGGGGGACTCAGGCCCATCTGGGGCTGCTGGACCCCCAGGCAAGAAAGGCCCCCCTGGAGAGGATGGAGCCAAAGGGAATGTGGTGAGTCCTGGGAGAGGTGGAGGCAGAGATCGGGGAGGGGCACTTATGTCCACTTGAACCTGATCCCTAACTTCTATCGAGGGGTTCTTCCTCCAATGTGCTGATTCCCTGAGCAACCCAGAACGTGGCTGAATACTGAACGAATGGATGGTTATATGTCACTGTATGGGGTGCAACTTGCTCCCACACGGAAAGATTCTGAAAGTGTTGGAACCGTTGAGATTGATGCCTGGAGTTGGGGCTGATGTGGGATTTGGCCTTACGGTGGAGGTTGAGGCCCTCCCCCCATCGTGGTGGGGCTTGGGGTGGGGTGGGAGGGCAGTGAGGAGCTTCAGGGTCTATGGAACCTCAAGTTGGATCTGACCCCTTTTCTGAGGGTCAGGCCTATCTGTGAGTCCCGAGCTGGGAGTTGCCTGGAGGACAAAGTGAAGTGATGCATGTCACAGGCTTAGCTCAGACCTGTACACATTAGACTCTAGAATGTTCACTCTCCCAGGGTGGGGATTTTGCGTTTTGTTCACTAGCATATCCTCAGCAGTCCAAGCTGTGCTTGGGGGCAGTTCATCTGTCAAATAAATGAACGAATGCCCGATAATTCAGAGAGGTGATTATTCCTCGTTCTGTCTTCCAGGGCCCCACTGGGCTCCCAGGAGATCTAGGACCCCCCGGAGACCCTGGAGTTTCGGTGGGTGTGAGGTGCCCCCCTACAAGCCCCCACATATTCCTAATTCTTTTCCCATCTCCCCACCCTCCACAGACTTGGGCAAGGTCAGTGGAACAAATAACCTTCACGTTGCCCCCCGTTTCCCCCCCCAAATTCTTAAGTGCCTCCATGATCCCTGCCCCCCCCACAGGGTATCGATGGCTCCCCAGGAGAGAAGGGAGACCCTGGTGATGTCGGGGGACCGGTGAGTGGGGGAGCAGAGGATGTGGTGCTGGTAGAGGGGGGTTGGGGTGGGTGAGTGGGTGAACTGGGGTGAACCGGGGGAGTCAGAGGAGTAGGTGGATGAGGTGCCCAGGACCCCTGTAGATGCACTTGCTTCACCTCTCTGAGGCTTCACCATGAATGTGAGTGGCTTCAAGGAGGAGGTGGGAGATGGCTGGTGTTGGCATGATGTCTGGGGAAGGCTGTCTGGATCAGAGGCATCTTGAAATATAGTCACGCTCGACCAATGTGAGCTAATACTATCCTGCTGCTGTTATATATCTGTAGGGTCCACCTGGGGCTTCTGGGGAACCTGGCCCCCCTGGGCCTCCTGGCAAGAGGGTGAGTGAGACCTGCCTCCTGGCTGTCCTGGCTCCATCCTTGCCCCACCCATCTCCACAGGCCCCCATTCACCTCCATAGGCCCCCCTCACTCCCACAGGTCCCCCTAATCCCCACAGACCCCTATCATCTCAACAGACCCCCTTTACCCCCAAAGCTCCCCCCCCACATACTCTTTCCCTCCTCAGGGTCCTTCAGGCCGCATGGGTCGAGAAGGCAGAGAAGGGGAGAAAGGGGCCAAGGTGAGTACCCCCCACCCAGGGAAGTGTCCCTGTGCGGACACTCGACCAATAGTTGGACCATCAGAATGGGTGTCCCAATACCCTCCTCCTCCCTGATGGTTGTTGACTTGGAGGTCAGGAGAAAGTTTCCCTCTGACTCTTTCTGCTCTTCCCTTGCCCTGGTCTATCAGGGGGAGCCAGGTCCTGATGGACCCCCAGGGATGACAGGCCCAGTGGGGGCTCGAGGGCCCCCCGGACGTGTGGGGCCTGAGGGTCTTCGAGGGATCCCCGGCCCTGTGGTGAGTGGGGTGAGAACAGGGATGGGGTGGGGTGGGATCAGGCCCTCTTTGTGTGCTCCTATCCTATACTTTTTCACCCCAATCTGGAGCGGCTGACCCTGGCCGGGGGGTGGGGGCATCCACACTGAGTTCTGGCTGAGGGCAGCATTCCCATGTTCTGCTTCATCCTAGGGTGAACCAGGCCTCCTGGGACCTCCTGGGCAGATGGGCCCTCCTGGACCCCTGGTAAGAGACTTCTTTTCTCATGTCCTGGCACTGAGAACCACACTGGGTGTCCAGAGACCATCTAGTGACTGTGGGTCTGGTGGTGCAGGCTGACCCCTCACTGACTATCCATCTGACAGTCTACCCTGACCATCTATACTAACCATCTATTCTGACCACTTATCTTGATGGTCTACACTGACCAACCACACTGACTCTCCATCTTGATGGTCTACTCTGACCAACCACACTGACTCTCCATCTTGATGGTCTATCCTGACCAACCGCACTGACCCTCTATCTTGGTGGTCTACACTGATCATCTACACTGAGCCTCCGTCTTGGTGGTTCATACTGACCACAGTGACGCTCCATCTTGATAGGCCAAACTGACCATCTATCTTGCTAGTCTACCCTGACCCCCCACACCGATCCTGACCACTGACCATTCATATTGGCTATGCTCCAACCCCTTCATTATCCCTTGTCATTCCTCCTCTCTCCTGACCATCCCCATGACCCCATCCCTGGTAGTTCCCACTTGAAATCTGGGTAATTTCCTATTTGACTATCCCCTAATCACCCACATGAACCTTGAGATTTCATGTTTGAGTCTCACTAACTGAGCCTCACTCTCGTTCCAGGGGCCCTCTGGCCTTCCAGGATTGAAGGGGGATGCTGGCCTCAAGGGCGAAAAGGTAAGGACATGTCCTTCCATTATTCTCCCTCCATCTCCTCCACCTTTACCTCCCTCCCGGGCCAGAGGGCTGGCAGGTTGGGGTCTCCTCTGCTCCCACACTCATCACCCCAAGGCTCTAGAAGAAAAATCCACCAGCATCCCCCCCCACCATATTTCTTTCCCCATATGTACCTCTCTTGTCTTCCAGGGCCACATTGGATTAATTGGCCTCATCGGCCCCCCTGGGGAAGCTGGTGAGAAAGGGGATCAGGGGTTGCCAGGCATGCAGGGCCCCCCTGGCCCCCAGGGAGAACCTGTGAGTTCTATCCCAAGTGGGAAGAATGTGTTCAGAGGAAGGGGTGGGTGGGGAGGCAGAACTGGGGCTTATTTGGAGACTGCACATTTGGGAACTGGGTCTAGAATGATAGGGGTTGTGTCTGGGGAAAATGAGGGGCTCTATCTGGGGATATGCAAGTTGGACGCTGTGTCTGTGGCTTGTTCTTTTGAGGGCACTAGAGGCTTTTCTGGGGGATGTGCCTGGATCATAGGGGTGAACCCCATCAATGATGACCTTGATGTCCTTTCTTTAGGGTCCCCCTGGTCCCATCGGCTCTCTGGGCCACCCTGGGCCCCCAGGCGTGGTGGTGAGTAAGAGGGGTTTGTGGGGTGGGGTTACCGTGGTGGGCCAGCTGGGACTCCAGCCCTCCCTGTCTCTACCCCACAGGGTCCTCTGGGACAGAAAGGCTCCAAGGGGTCCCCGGTGAGTATATGCTGTCCCTTGGGCTCCCACATCCTGGCTTCCCGCCCCCTGCAACTTCACCACACCTCAGTGCCTTTGCATTGTTCATTTTTTCAATCAATCATGCGTTCAACGGATATTTATTCAACACCTACTGTTGTATTTTATCAAATCTGAGATGCCATCAATTGTAAGATGCGCCATTATTTTAGAAACTACTATGAACGAGAGCAGTTTTGACAAGGAGACTATGATTTGCCGAAGATGTTAAGATGTTGATTTCAGAGATGTTAAACTATGGAAAGAAAATGTGCGTTTTATCCTTGGTGCTAAACTGTGCATGTCCTTCGCCCAGGGCTGTGTGCGTGTGTGAGTGTGTATGTGTGTTGGCAGGAAGGGGTCTCCATAGACAGAGTTCACTCCCAAGTGACTTCTCCCTACAGGGATCCTTTGGTCCCCGTGGCGATACTGGCCCCCCGGGGCCCCCCGGCCCCCCGGTAAGTTCCCCAGGGAGTATGTTGGAGTGTCCCAGGGGGTTCCCCAGTGCCCAGAACTGGTTGGGGCACACAGCAGGTGTTCAGGGTGTGCAGGTGGGGAGGGAGGTAACTTGAAAGCTGAGGGGGGGTCTGGGCTGTGTTGGGGGTTTAGGGGGACACCCTTGGGGGCTCTCTGACTGGGTCTCATCTTGCTTGGCTCTGTCTCCCCGACCATCTCTCTCTCCCTGTCTCTCTCCATCTCTTCATCTCTCCTGGCCTTTTGCTGTCTCTTCCAAATACTTGTTCCCTTGTTTTGTCTGTTTCTCTCCTGCGCGCGCTCCCTCTCTCTCTGCTTTCCTTGCCTCACCTGTGGATCTCCCTTTCATTGTGTTATTACTTCGGCTTTTCCCCATCTCTGGGTCTTTCTGTCTCTCCCTCCTGTGTGTCTGTCTCTGTCTCTGTCTGCTTCTCCATCTCCCCCGCCCCTTTGTGTATCTCTCTCTCCCCTTTCTTATCGCTCCCCGCCCCGTGTCTTGCTACCTCCCATGTCTCTCTCATCTTGGCTTGTCTCTCTTCCTGTCTCTCCTCCTGCGTCTCTGCTCTCCTCCCCCCCATCCCCACCCCTGCTCAGGGTTCCCCAGCTGAGCTTCATGGGCTGCACCGGCACCGTCGCTCTCTCCCAGGCCCAGGGGCGCTAGAGGCCCCGGAGGGCGGCCTGGAGGAGGTGCTGGCCTCACTCACTTCGCTGGGCTTTGAGCTGGAGCAGATGCGGCGCCCTCCGGGCACGGCTGAGCGCCCGGGCCTCGTGTGCAGTGAGCTGCACCTCAACCACCCGCACCTGCCTGACGGTGAGGTCCCTCCCTGGCCGGGTGGGCAGGAAGCCCGTGGGGTCCCGCCCCTGCTCACTCACCCACCTGGCCCTGCGGCAGGGGAATACTGGATTGACCCCAACCAGGGCTGCGCGAGGGACTCGCTCAGGGTTTTCTGCAACTTCACGGCAGGAGGGGAGACTTGCCTCTATCCTGACAAGAAGTTTGAGATGGTGAGTGCCTGGAGGAGGTGGGGGAGAGAAGGGGCTCCGGAAGCCAACCCCAACCCCCCATCACCAAAGGCTATATCCCGCCTCCCCTCCCTACCCAGCGCACATACCAGGCTTTGTCTGGGACCTTACCCTTCCTTCAACCAACATTTATTGAGCACCTGCTGTATGCCAAGGCCTGTGAAGGGCTGGGACTACAGCAGAGAGTCAAAAAACAAAACAAAACAAAACTCTGCTTTTATGGAGCTTACCTTCTATGAGGAAAGATAGACCAAAAAAATCTAGTAAGGGAAGTGGAAATGGTGGCAAACCTTTCAATAGGGTGTATGTGTGCCAGGCTGTTCTAAGCACTTGGCTGCATTAGCACTGAGTCCAGCCACCTGGTGTGGGGGACAGGTGCCATCATTCCCAGAGAGAGAAGCTACGGCCCAGAGAAGTGATGGGATTACCCCAAGGCAGGCTGGCTCCAGAGGCCCAGCCCTTAACCACCACCTCTTGACCTGCTATCTCATAGGCCCACCGACTCATTGTCCTTCAGGCTGCGGGTTGGGAGGTGAGACCACGTGGTTCCCCAGGAACACTGGGGTTCTCTATCAGGGAGCCCTGAGCCTCAGCCCCCCACCTCAAGCACCAGGCTCAGCAGCGTAGGGCCCCGGGCGAGCAGCGCCAGCTCTAGAACCCTGGGTGGGGATAGAGATGGCACCTCAGTCTTTTTCATCTGTAAAATGGGGATCAAGACAGTATCTGCCTCAGGATGGTTGTACAGTTGAGGTGCTGATGCACCTGTCAGGAACGCTGAGAAAACACGGACTTGTGGTGCTGTGCTCTCTACGGCCGTAGGACCTGTAGCCAGCCCAGAGCCTGCAGAAATGCATGCTGATGGCCTTCTTATTGCTTTTTGTTATTTTTTGACCGTTCAGAGCCCTGGTTTAGTAGGGCTCTGAACCCCCCCCCACCCCCCATGGGAATTTAGACGAGCTCAGACTCTCAAGTCGTGTAGGACTTGACATCTAAACGGTTGCTGGTACCTGAAGTCTGAGCTGCTCTCACCAGCTCACCTTTGTCCTGCCCAGAGGTGCTGGGGACAGGACCGAGGAATGAATGATCCAGGGTTGGGTTCCCCAGACACAGACCCTGAGACAAGGATTTGAGGGCAGGTCATTGATTTAGGAGGAGATCTCAGGAGGCACTGGGAGAGCAGAGGAGGGAAGTGAGAGGGGCTGGGGGAGGCGACCAATGCAGATTAAAATGTCACCATTGGGCACTAAAGGCTCAGTTCTACTGGGGGACTTCCAGGACACCGGCAGGAGAGGGAGCCGGGCGTTTATCCACCAACTCTTATCAGTCATTGGTTGAGGGCTGCCTCAGAGGGCAGGGACCCCCAGTCCCCTGGGCTGCCCGGCACACCAGCCAAGCTCACGTCCGTGGCCAGACAGCAGCCCAAGAGTCCTGGCTGTACAGGCTGCAGCTTTCAGGGTGGGGAGGTAAATGCAGGGAAGACCTCGCTGGCACCCAGGGCGTCTTCTACGCTGACTACCCCCTCCCATCCCCAGGTAAAAATGGCCTCCTGGTCCAGGGAAAAGCCGGGAAACTGGTATAGCACATTCCGTCGAGGGAAGAAGGTGAGTTGCTGGAGGCCGAGGTGGGGGATAGTATGAAAACTGGTGGGAACTGGTGCAGGGGGAGTTGGAGGAAGGGCTCTGAGGGGTGAAAGGAGCAGGGAAGACTCAGCCCTGCCTTCGTGGTGATTGAAGGCTTGGTGGAGGTGGCAGATTGGGGGTGGGCAGCATCAGATGTGTGATGGAGGAGGCGCAGGGTATGGTGGAAATCCAGAGGTGGGCTGAAAGTACCAGAGGCTTCCTGGTAGCAGTCACAGATCAGCTGAGGCCTGTACAATGAGCTGGGTCAGCAAGTTAGGGAGGACAAGGAAAAGTGTTGCAGGCAGAGGGAACAGCATACACGAAGGCCTAGAGTTAAAAGAGGGTCTGCTGAATTTCAAGAGAAAGCCACTTGCTCTGCTCTAGAAAGTGTGAAGGGGAGTGTGGTAAGAAAGGAGGTGGGGGAGGGGCTCCTGGGTGGCTCAGTTGGTTGGGCGACTGCCTTCGGCTCAGGTCATGATCCTGGAGTCCCGGGATCAAGTCCCGCGTTGGGCTCCCTGCTCGGCGGGGAGTCTGCTTCTCCCTCTGACCCTCCCCCCTCTCATGCTCTCTCTCTATCTCATTCTCTCTCTCAAATAAATAAATA